TATTATCTACCTCTCAGGTTCAAGCAATTCTTCCGCCTCAGCCACCAGAGTAGCTGGGATTACAGGTACACATAACCGCGCCTGGCTAATTTTTTTTTTTTTTGAGAAGGAGTTTCGCCCTTGTTACCCAGGCTGGAGTGCAATGGCGTGATCTCGGCTCACCGCAACCTCCGCCTCCTGGGTTCAGGCAATTCTCCTGCCTCAGCCTCCTGAGTAGCTGGGATTACAGGCACGCGCCACCATGCTCAGCTAATTTTTTGCACCATTAGTAGAGATGGGGTTTCACCATGTTGACCAGGATGGTCTCCATCTCTTGACCTCGTGATCCACCCACCTCGGCCTCCCAAAGTGCTGGGACTACAGGCTTGAGCCACCGCGCCCGGCCTAATTTTTTTATATATATGTTTTTAGTAGAAAGAGAGTTTCCCCATGTTGGCCAGGCTGGTCTCGAACTCCTGGCCTCAACTGATCCATTAGCCTCCCAAAGTGCTGGGATTACCAGCGTGAGCCACCACGCTTGGCCAGTAGTAATGCTTTTCCTCTTAGTCTTAAAACAACTAGGAATGTTAACTTGATACTATAAAACATAAACTATATATTTCAAAATAAAATTATTTCTACTTTTTTTTCTTTTTTTTTTTTTTGAGATGGAGTCTCACTTTGTCTGGAGTGCAGGCTGGAGTGCAGTGGAGTAATCTTGGCTCACTGCAACCTCCGCCTCCCAGGTTCAAGCAACTCTCCTGCCTCAGCCTCCCAAGTAGCTCGGACTACAGGTGTCCATCACCAGGCCCAGATAATTCTTTGCACTATTAGTAGAGATGGGATTTCACCATACTGGCCATCTGTCTTGGTCTCCCAAAGTGCTGGGATTACAGGCGTGAGCCACCGCACCTGGCCCTACATTTTCTTTCTATTGAATTATCTACCTATAGCAGTGTTCACCAGCCCACCTTCCATTAAGTTTATAATGAGAAGTTAACCCAACTTCCATTAACTAGAAAACCATGATTTGCCCATGACATTACAAAAAAGGACACAGAGAAGATCACTATGGAATTTTTTTTTTTTTTGAAACAGTATCTCACTTTGTCATCTGGGCTGGCGTACAGTTGCATGATCATGGCTCACAGCAGCCTGAAACTCCAGGGCTCAAGCAATGCTCCTACCTCAGCCTCCTGATTAACTGGGACTATAGATGTGTACCACCATGCCTGGCTAATCTTTAAATTTTTCTACAGACGGAATCTCACTTTGTTGCCTAGGTTGGTCTCCAAGTACTGGCCTCACAGAATCATCCCACCTCTGCCTCCCAAAGTACTGGGATTACAGGGGAGCCACAGTGCCAAGATCACTACAGATCTGTTTTAAAAATAACTGTATGATACAAAAGAAAGCACTACAAAATACATGGAACCTTTTTATGAAATATTTTGGTTTTGAAAAAATGACAAAAATTACTTCACCAAATAAATACAAAGTGCTCCAATGCAAAATATTTTACTAGCATCTGACGTATTATGTTCTACAACTTAATAATGTACATATCTGCTCCACCAAACACACTGTAGAAGTCTATAAACACTAAAGCAATAGTCAAGAAATTTTCAAACCAATTTGTGTCATTATTTTCTGTAGAAAGTAATGATATATTCTGGAAAAAGTATCATCTCTATGCATATCTATAAATAGTAATAACATTATTTGCTTACCACAGCTACCTATACAGACCAATACAGATATATTTCATATATAACTAAAATATAATTAGTATTGCCATCAGTTGTGTGATTGTGTCCATGCTGTTTGCTCTGTAACTTGGTAGCCCACACCACTCTGATTCCGGGCTTGGAGCATTACTTTTTTTTGGCAATAGGATGTTCAACTATAATGCAAGTATGTAAGACAAAATTAAAATATATATGCAGATGATCGTACACAGATGTTTCCCATATATAAACGTCTAGAGGAACATTCACAGCATATGGCATGCAGGTTAATTCTGTTCGAAACATTATAAGTCACTCACCATTCATGGCGCTTGCCTGCTTAAGCCAGCAACATCCTCCAACAGTGACAACAACCAAACATGCCCCCATGCATACTAATACTCCCTGGTGGAGGTCAAAGATCCAAGGCTGCTGCCAAAGCCAATACACTTTCTGATCTTTTAGTTTTAGAAATACCCTTCTTCAGGCATGAACTCATTCATGCACAAGATGTATCGTAGTGCCTTTTTAATCCAAAACTTACGTGACTGATTATGGTCCTTTCCAAACTACTGAAAGGTGACGAGAGAAACAGGGCAACTTATTTTGAAATGTAAACTTAAGTTCTGGTACTATTCCCTACATACGTGATACTTATGATTTAAAGGTTTTAAGATAAGCTGATAATAAAACACTTGTACTTGAAATCCACGAAGACTTGGTTATAAAGCTGTAGCAACTATCTCACACTTCATATCTTCACCCTCTACACACCTCTCAAAATTTTAAAAACAAAGATACTGTTAATACTATAAAGAACCAAATATACCTGTCCAATTATTTTGGTTCTAAGACGTCCTTTGGTACACTATGAGAAGGTATGTTTGTCTTTCTTAACAAGCATTTACAAGGTTAATATATTTCCTAGCAATCTATTGCAAGCTTCCCTTTTTCTTTTTGTATTGTTTGCTCCATCTTCAGTGACTTTCACTATCGGCTTAGGTCCTAGTTACCCTCAAAAACCAGTAAATGCTTTACCTCTTCTGTGGGGTCTTCCCAATCCTCTCCTTCCTACTAAAAGACTATGTCCCTTCTCCATACTACTTCTGATACTTCTTATTCTTATCATTATTTATCTAACACCATGCTGCAATTATGTTACTTATCTGTCACTCCAACTGTGAGCCCTCTGTCCACTAAGCCAGTGTTACACATCTATAACCACATCCATAATGCCCAACACAGTAACAGTGATTGTCATGGTAAGTGCTCTGAGTGGTCTATCAACCTGCATACCTCTTTGTAGGACTTAAGATTCATGAATGCATTTCATATATTTTGCTTCTACTTTCTGATACAGTGAGCGCCCTGAAATCAACTATTTATTTTACATATCCTAAATTTACCTTAATGCTACAGCCTTAAAAAATATTCCCTCAAAAATCCAGCCATACATAACAATAAAGATGAATCTTGAGGGCATTACACTAAATGAAATATGCCAATCACAGAATGACAAATATTGTTTAATTCCATTTACATGAGGTATCTAAAATAGTCAAACCCATAGAAGCAGAGAGGAGAATCAGGGGCACCAGGGGCAGAGGATAAAATGAGGAGCTGTAATTCAAATGACACAAAATTTCAGTTATACAAGACGATTAATTTCTAGAGATCTACTATACAACACTGTCTCTATAGTTAAGCATAAAATTTTGCACAGCTAAAAATTTGTTAAGAGGGTGGATCAATGTTCCTACCACAATTAAAAATATATACTCCTTCAATCTTGGTATTTTTTGGACCAGTCTCCACCTAACCTTATCTCACATGTTATTATATTTTGACTTCTTCAATGGACCGCTGTCATCATAGTTTTGTTACTCTGGTTTTACCTATTGTCATATTTTAAATCTAAAAATAGAATAATATTCTTTATTTCTGATTTCATTCTAATTTCCAAAATTTTGCACACTAAGCCAATATTCTAAGAAAGTAACTTCAAGTGTGCAGTGTTAAGTTAATCCTACTTGTAAACTTTATACAAATAGTTCAAATTGTATTTTAATCAAAATATATATTGTTCTATGCTTACTGTCATTAAAAACCTCCTACCCTTTCATCCAGCTTTACACGTTTTTATGATGTATTCACATTAGTCTGGAATCTGAATACTCAAAATAATTTGTCATTTGCAAAATTTGGAGACTTCAAAATATGCTCTCTTCTTTAAATCATGTATTTTAAAATATTTCATAGCTGTGAATTTATATTTCCTCATTATTTTAGAACCAAAAGCACATGGACGTCGCAAGTAGGCAAACGATTTTAGGATATGACTTTCTAAGTATTAGGAAGAAAGGCAAAGTGTAAAATGCTTGCACATATTTTCTAAGGGTCAAAGAGAAGATTAAAACTTATAAAATCGTAATATTTAACTAATTTTATGTTTATTAAGGATATCAAAGATGCAACCGGGAGAGTACCACTAAAGTACAACTTATTTCTTTCTAGAAAATAAGACTTTTCTGTGAAATAATAATAGCTATTATTAATCAACTTGGGTTGACTGGCTCATCCTTACCCCAGGATTATAAAAAATGCCCACTTTCTTTGCTAATTTTATTAATTTAAAAAAATTAGAAAAAGTTTTAAAACTTTTACTAACAGCAAAGCATATAACTAAAAGCAAACAAGCAAACAGAATGGAATTACTGAAAGCCCATTAAAGGCAAGAAGAAAAAAAGCTTCCAACCAAAGCTTTATACCATCTGGCTCCCCATGACACTTGGCTGCCACTGAGAACTACTAACCTCTTCCCTACTGAATACCTGCTAAACATTGCACATCACATATACATCCAAAGTTAAAAATTTAGAAAAAATAAAGGAGAGGACTTCAAGTGAAAGCTGGTCATACAATAGCCTAACAAGTTTAATATAAAAATCACAAAATAAATTATCTTCCCGTTTTGACCTTTAAAGCGAAGACTAACAGTAATTGTAATAACGACGTACTCTGAAATGCCTTTTATATTCAAGACTGATGAATTTGAAATACATACATTTCACCTCAGATTTAAAGTGTTTATGTAGTAGAGATTAATTCCAAATATATTTTTAAATGAGTACATTCTAAAATATCTAAATATAGAATACAAAAATAACTTTTTTAAGACCATGAAATTCAACATTTTAAACAATTCATTAACCTGATTAAAATGACTGCCAACAAAAAAGTTGAAAATTGCAAAAAAAAAAAAAAAAAAAAAAAAAAACACACACACACACTTACTTCATTTCCATGTTTTTGTAAGAACTCAATTTCCTGTTGTGTGAATGTTGTCATGGAGATAGATTTCACCCTGTGTGGTGGATTTAATCCTCGCCTAAAAGATAAAACATTTTACAAAATTTACTAGTACATACATTTTTTAAAATGGCACATATAGTAATTCAAAACCAACGCACAAACTTCAAACAGTATTTTCATTTCGTAAACTCCAAGTATTTTCAAATTATTTTAAATAATAGATGTTAAAATAACTTTGGTTAGACTCATTAAATAGTAGACTTAACAATAAACTCAATTAACTACCTAGTTAAAAACACAAAGTAAGTGTGACACATGAGCTTCTAGGAGATGCAAAGAGTACTTTAGTGTGTTTCTAATGATAGAAAAAGACTATACATGTGAAGAGCTCCATAGTAAAGGATTTTAATTCTTTAAATATTTCATATTTCCTAAGAAACCAACAATGATATATTAAGACTGGAACTATAAAAATATCCTTATCAAACAGTTGTTAACCTTTAAGTAAGTTTAAGACTAATTTAGAAAACTATATGAAAAGTAATGTAACAAGATGAGATACAACTGGTAAAGTCCTATCGTGCCATCAAGTCAAGTAAAAATTTATAATAAAGAACATTTTTAGTTACCTCAGAAGGCAGTGAGTGTACAAGAGGAAATCGTAGGGACATGGGAAAGAGATTTTAAAACTGCTGAATACACGATTAAACGATTTTTAAGGTCCTTTACAACTCTCAGTCCTTTTCTGTATGGATGGCCTTAAAAAGACTTAATCTTGATGTTTGAACACACATGAAAAACTAAGTGGAAATGCACTCAAAGAGTCAATAACTATTTACATGTTGTCCAACTATCTTGTGAGCAGATTCACCCGCAAGAAAAATGGTCAAATAATCTATACAAAGTAACAAGTAACCTATGCAAAGTTCCATAAAACTACTTCGGGATCATGTCCTCTGACAAAGGTCTCATTTGAAATCTGGGTCTTACAGCAATTACTGTAGCAATATTTTTTAAAAATTTGTCAATCAATTTGTAATCACTCTTGCTAACTAAATAAGAGATTTAACAATGACATAAAATAGTAAATGTACCAAAAGTCTTTAAAAAATATTCTGAGAACATTTTGAATTATTAAATATGGTGCATAACATTCTAGAAATATATGCTATTTTAAGGTGGCAGACACTGTGGCTCATGTCTGTAATCCCAGCACTGTGAGAGGCCACGGTGAGCAGATCACTCAAAGACCAGTCTGGCCAACATGGCAAAACCCCATCTCTACTAAAAATACAAAAATAAGCTGGGCGTGGTGGCATGCACCTGTAATCTCAGGTACTCAGGAGGCTGAGGCACAAAAATGGCTTGAACCCAGAAGGCAGAGGTTGCAGCAAGCCAAGATTGTGCCACTGACTTCTAGCCTGGACGACAGAGCAAGAATCTGTCTCAAAGAAAAAAAAAATTGTCAAAAAATGTTGTCAAAACATTAAGTAGAAGCTCCTCAATTCACTGCTTCTTTTTCTCTCTCCCCCTTGTCATAGATAAATATCATCTTTCAGAACATGATTTGAATTAAGACAAGTTATACTTCATTTGTTTCATGTTTCATATTTCAAAGCAAGGAAAAGTTAATGGGTTTGGCTGTTGTTTTGCTTTGCTTTGTTTAAATTTTATACTGATTTTTTTCCTTCTGTTGTCATAAAATAGGGAAATAAAGACTGAACAAGAAGTAAATGAAATTTTATTCTGGTAAAACTCTCCAAGTTGGCCAGGCATGGTGGCTCATGTCTGTAATTCCAGCACTTCGGGAAGCCGTGATGGGCGGATCACTTGAGGTCAGGAGTTCGAACAAATTAAAGCTCTAAACAGATTAGTTTCAAATTGGTGGCCAGGTGCGGTGGCTCATGCCTGTAATCCCAGTACTTTGGGAGGCCAAGGTGGAACGAAAACTTGAGGTCAGAAGTTTGAGACTAGCCTGGCCAAGGTGGTGAAACCCTGTCTCTACTAAAAACTACAAAAATTATCTGGGCGTGGTAGCGCACGCCTGTAGTCCCAGTTACTTGGGAAGCTGAGTTAGGAGAATCGCTTGAACCCAGGAGGCGGAGGTTGCAGTGAGCAGAGATTGCACCACTGCACTCCAGCCTGCACAACAGAGTGAGACTCCGTATCAAACAAATAAATAAATAAATAAATTTCCCAAAGTGAAACTTAAGAAAAGTCATTATTACTCAGGGCGCAACACTTTGTTTCCAACTCATCACTCATCGGTATTATGAGAACAACACTTAATCCACTACTTTCAGGATTTTTAACAATTTAAAAAGTAATTAACATATTATTGTTCTCTCAAATGCCTTTACTACTTCCCTCTCACTTTGTAACTTTGTCTCTCCTTATTCTGTGACATCTCCTCCTTGATCCAGACAAGGCTTTACCTTTCCACTTTCTGGTAATATCTCTTTTTTAAAAATGGAAAAGGCAAAAAAACAACTTTCTGATGAAGATATATGAAGCCTTTAAAATGATTATGTTTTGGAAATTTTGGAGCAAACAACTATACCTGTGTACTTCTCAAACTGTTCAGTGAGGAAACAGCAATTCATAAAGCTAACCCTAACTCTTTTTAGTTACATCACACATATGTAATCTCACAAATGCAGTGCAGTGTGTAAATATATCCCAGGCCCTACCATATCACAGGGTCTATTAATGCACAAAGAAGGTATTCATATTACCTAAATAAGTGAACAAAATTTTGAACTTACGAAACAAGTACAACCAGAATGTACTCATAACCAAATGAGGAAAGGACATTTTTTTCCCAAGTGAAATCTGTTACAGGATTTGTTACTCATTACAGGATTTATTTAAATGAGCTCTCTCTCAGTACATTCAAAATAAGATTCAATTTACAAAATGACAGACAATTTTACAAGGCTACATTTATCACATAAATTGAGTAACCACAAGGAAATTTTATGTGTGTTCATGTTGCTTTCTCTAATTGTTCTTTTATATTCCATTTATCCAGGGAGATTAACTATATTCTCGATCTAAGGCTATACAAGGATTTTTCATTTTTTAGCCTTCCAAAGCTTTGTACATGGATTTCACATGCTTTTAAGAGTCTGAGAAAAAGCTGAAGACTGATCCATTAATGTCTTAAGTAGCATTCAGAGTGATGAGATGCAAAGAAAATGAGTAGTCTTGCCTCCCACCCCGCCTCTCCCCGCCAAAAAATGAGTGGTCTCAAACACTGATAGTGGGATAAACTCACCATTTTTTATTAAGAACCTCATTACTGTCACTTGACCCAGCTATGCCACTTCTGGTAATCAACTCTAAACAAAGAATTCTTTATATAGCTGACCACCTATGTACAAGATACTCACCAAACATTATTCATAATAGGAAAACATCAGAAACACCAAAAAGGAAGTGATTAAATGACAATGTTTAAAAGTATGACATTATGCACTTACACTTGTACTTTAATTTTTTCAGATAAAAATTATATAATATTCTCAAACCATTTTTTTAAATATGAAAAAAAAAACCAAATACTCTAAAATGTTAACAGTTCTTGCATATAACTAATGAGATCGAATGAACATGTTTACCAACAATAACATTTAAATGAGGTGGGGGTGGTGACTCACGCCTGTAATCCTAGCACTTTGGGAGGCCAAGGCAGGTAGATCACCTGTGGTCAGGAGTTTGAGACCAGCCTGGCCAACATGGTGAAACTCCATCTCTACTAAAAATATAAAAATCAGCCAGGTATGGTGGCAAATGCCTGTCATCTCAGCTACTCAGGAGGCTCAGGCAGGAGAATCACATGAACCTAGGAGGCAGAGGATGCAGTGAGCCGATGTTGCACAACTGCACTCCAGCCTGGGCCACAGAGCAAAACTCTGTCTCAAAAGAAAAAAAAAAAAAACCCTAAATGAGACTACTGTGTATTTTTATAGACCCCATATTAATATAAGATTAAAATGCTGATTAAGTCTGAAATGTTATCAATAGTACAATTTCAACTGTGACCTTAAAAGAAAATGGAATTCTACCAGTAAACGGAAAAATCAAAACAAAACCAAAAGCTTTGTCAATGTTTTAATAAAATTAAACATTATCTGCCATACAACCTAGCCCTAGATATTTACTCGAGTGAAATGAAAACTTATGTTCAGCGAAAAAACCTGTGCATAAACATTTACAGCATTTCTATTCATATATATCTCAAGAACTAGAAAATCCTCAAATGGGCAGTGGAAAAACAAACAAGCAATGGAATACTACTCAGCAATACGGAGAAAAAACTATTAAATGACAACTAACTTGGATTAATCTTAAGATAAGAGGTTGAATGAAAAAAGGCAATCTAGAAAAGTTATGAGTCCATTTACACAACGTTATTGGAAAGACAAAACCTGTAGTGTTGGAAGAACAGATCAGTAATTGCCAGGAGGTGAGGAAAAACAAGGCCTAAGAGTTTTCTGGGGTGATGGAAAACTTGCATGTTCTAATTTTAGTGGTGGCTACATGAATCTACACATGTTAAGATTTACAGAACCTTGTACCAAAAAATTACAATGTATGTTAACTTAAGAAATAAAAAACTGTAGTCCTGATTTCATGTTTCTATAGTAACCAAAATTTTCACACTAATTAAATTTTTTATCATTAGCAGACCATCTTCACCTACCAAATTTAATCGTTTAAGTAAATAACATCCTTCATAAATCAAAACAAATATTTTTAAGATGTATTTCTGGAACCTAGTGTCACTTCTCTTTCTTGCTAAGGCTCGTCTAGCTGCAGGGTGAACTCGGTGTTTATAAAACAGTTTTCTGTAATGATATTAGTCATAACTATTGGATGAAAGTGTTGGGTAAGTAAACCACATTACTTTTATAGGGCCAATACTGAAGTATCACCCATTCCAGATCCTAAAATACACATTTTAAGTCTTCAGGTTTGTAATAAACAAACAAGCAAGAAAAAAAACAACCTCACTTAATAACTGCAGTTTTGATATTTTGAAAATATGTTTGCAAGTTAACTGGTTTCGAGAAG